TATACCTATTATTCTTAGATTTTGTCTTTTCATATTGTCTTGGATTTCTTGGACGGTCTGTGTCAAGAATTTTTTGGATTTAACATTTTCTTTGACAGATACATTGATTTCTTCCATTGTATGTTCCACACCTGATATTCTTTCTTCCATCTCTTGTAGTCTATTGGTTATGCTAACCTCTGCAGTTCCAGTTTTCTTCCCTAAGTTCTTTCTCTCTGCAATTTCCTCCATTTGTGCTTTCTTTAATTTTTCCAATTCTATCTTCAGATCTTGAGCCATTTTGTTGATTTCCTTCACCTGTCTGACTGTATTTTCCTGTTTTTCCATCACTTCTTTCAGCTGTTTGTTTGAACCAACCTCTGTTTCTTTTATTTCATTCAGTGCTTTAAGCATTTCCTTTCTAAAGGCCACAAACTGTTTGGCTGCAGCTTCCTCTATTTCTTTACGGATGGCAATATTCTGTTTAAGTTTATCTTCCTCTATGTCTTTACGTATCTCATTTGTTTCCTCTGTTATCATCTTCATGAGCATAGTTGTTAGGTCATCTTCTTGGATTTCGGTTATGCTGGGGTGTCCAGGGCTACTTGCCCCTGGGTAACTGGGTTCTGGAGATGCCATATTGCTCTGTCTTTTGTTACTTGAGCTTTTACGCTGGCCTCTACCCATTGGGCTATCTTAGGTGTTTGGGGTTAGTTTCTGGTGGTTCCTGGGGATCCTGTGGTGGAGAGAATCCCCTTGGCATAAGGCTGGTTTTTCTTGAAGGAAGTATTCTCAGCTTTTTGGGTATAGTCCCTGGATGGCTGGCGTTTTTTTCAGAACAGGAGTTGCTGCTGCTCACCTCAGGGATAGAGACCTGAGTGGTAACTGTGGTCTTTGTTAGTCGAGAGGGTTCTCCTCTCACCCAAGGAAGTCTTGAAGACAGCTGTCCTGTTTCTGGGTTTCTTGCTGTAAATTTTATGATTAGCTGCTGTTACACATTTGGACATCTGGTGCGCAGCAACTGTTTGTGCCTGTGTCTGGAGCACAGCTCAGTGATGGTGGCTGGGCCCCGCCGGTCTGCGAGACTTTTTCCAGGGAAGGACTGGGTGATTTAAGTCCGTACAGTTTCCTTCCTTCTCTGTGGATTATCTGGAGACAGGGACTCCCAGTCTCTTTTTTGCCCTGGGGCACACCGCTCAGTCTCTGCCAGCTAGCTGGCGCGCAGAAACTACCTACGTCTGCCTTTCTGGCCTTTGGAAGCCTGGGCGTCTGCCTAAACTGGGTAATTTTCCCGAGACCATTTCAGGGTGGGGGTGTCAGCTGAGTGTTCTGAGATCAGACCAGCCGTTTCCCTCCCTGTGAGTTTGCACCTGACAGTGAGACTCAGTCTTTGGTGCCCTGGGGTCCACAGTTCTAGCTGAGGCAGTGAATCAGGTGCACAGGCAGGATTCTGTGCTGGAGCCTGGGTTCCCGGCTCTGGCTCTGGGCTGGCTCCGGGCTGGCTCCTGGGGCACCCGCGGAACCCGAGTCTTTTCCAGGGAATGTCTGGGTGACCTAAGGTCGGTCTCAATCGTTTCCTGCACCATGGGGTTATCTCTCAACTGAAAATTCCAGTCTCTGATAGTGTGGTGCTCATGGTTCAGTCTGGGACTGTGACCAGAGCATGCTGGTGTGTGGCTCTGGGCTGGGGCTGGCGACCAAGCATCTGGCGGAACCGAGATCTCTTCCTCAGTTTTGCCAGGTGAGTTAAAAGCTGATTGAATCCCCCACCGTGGGGTATCCTCTCACCTGGGAAACACAATTGCCTGTGTTTTATGGCCGAGAGTTCTGATTGCTGGTCACTGTGCCAATCCTGCTGTGCTGCTGGTCAGAATGAGATTCCTCCCGGCGCCGCCATCTTGCCCTGCCCCCATCTTTGATATTTATTGAGCAGACAGGGAGGTCAGGAAGTATGCAGGGGATAATGCAGCATGTCCAGAGTTCCCCTGCTTCTTCTGTCCAGACAGGGTAGGTCTTATCTGATCTATGTATCACGTAAAGTGAGAAAGACAGTTGTACCCAAGCCACCTTCCCAACTCCAGGCAATGTGCTCAAACAGATAAACTGAGATGGACATGTGAGCCACAAAAGAAAAGTCCTTGCTAGCACACTTGCCGGTCCCCTCCTTTCGATGTGATCTTTGCTAGACAGAGACAGGTGGGCTGTTCATAATGCAGAAATTGATTTAAAATTCTGCACCTGGCTGTATCCAAACCCACCTGAATGGACTGTGTAGAACCTGGAGACATCCCCTGGGGACAGTGCAATCTACCCAGCTTCCCTCACCAGATGATAAGTGATGCAGAGCAACAAATGGGCCTTGAATAAAGTACATGGGGTGAAGGGCATAAATGAAAGGTCAACATGTATGTATATGGGATTATACCATTTTTCTATGCACAGCTAATATGAAATTGAATTTCCATATGGCAAAGTGCTTTTTGACTTTGTGTATTGTATTACTTAGATTTAATTGCTCTGGACCAGCTTTTAAACACATTTGAGCACAGGCATTTGTTAGCTTCCCATGTGACTGCATTGGCCAGGTAGACCTGTGCTTACTGTTTTGGGTCCAGCTGCACAGGCTGTCCTCAGGATAATCCCATACCCACAGAGACCAATACAAAGCGCTCCTCAGGTTCAGCACCAACGAGGTCTGGTTGGAGTACCATCAGCAGAGTAGTCACATTGGATTTGGAAAGAGCCATTTCTGAATTTATGTGATCCATTATTCTTGTACTAGCTATGAAGAGAAAGTGATTGCGTCTCAGCCGTCTCATCTCTAAAATGAGACTGAGGAGAAAAGCTGTATCTAGTTTGTATAGATTAGAATTCAATAAGATGTCCACAGCAGGTTTTCTAAACAATCGGCATGTCTGTTTTCCTCTACATACACGAAAGAAAACCTTCACAGGAGCCTCCGTGGGTCTTGCCGAGATCCACACCTTTTCTGGAACTTACTATTTCCTTGACAACACATAACTTTTCTTCAACCCAGATTTTTTTTTTAAAAAAAGATAATTCTTTTAGTAAAGATTGATTCTTATTTTTTTAGCAAAGCCTGTGTATGGGTTTGTATTTGAGAGTGCAATGCCCACAGAAGCTACAAGAGGTTGTTAGAGTCTCTGGAGCTGGAGCTACGGAAGGTTGTGAGTAGTTTGATGGGGATGCCGAGAACCAAGTTCTGGCTGTCTGTGGGAGCAGCACATGCTCTTCACTTCTGAGCCATATCTCCGGTCCTTCCTATCGAGTCTTCTACAGGAGGCTGTGAGGAACAGATGCCATTTGCTGCACATCACCCTCTGGGTCATGGCTGGTAGGTCTCTGCTACACTGGCCACCAGGAAGAATTAGTTACCGCCAAGATGCCCTGAGCAGATTGTCAAAGACATGTTTTTTCTTTGATAATTTTAATCTGTAGTGGAAATACATTGGAAGAAGCTTCTGGGAAAATTTTCTTTTGTTTTCTTAATTATTGAAACATTTCATAGCTTTTTTTTTTTTTTTTTTTTTTTTGGCTTTTTGAAATTAGAATCCTGCCTCACCAATTATGCTTTCAAGTCTGGTGACAGAAAAAAAAAAAAAAAGTAAAATCCTAATTAGCCTTTGAGTTTGTGCCAAGGCAGTTTGTGCCAGTAAAATAAACAATGCCTTAAAATAAGTCTTAATCCCTTGCTGAGAGGAACAAAAGACAAACCATATTGTCCTCCATTCTGCTCAGATTTCTGAGGGTGCTGGTCATGGGGGTTTTGTGTTGTTTCAACTTTTTACTCAACATATTAAGCAGACTAGATGAACTGGCTACTACCAACCTTTAATGAATCTGTGAATCAAGCAATGAGCAACATCATGACTGATTAACCAATCATGTAGAAATGCCTCTGTGTTACCATTTAACTTGGATCGGCCTTGTACACCAAAACCCATAAGACCCCTGCAGGTTGCCACATGAAAGTATTGTTTAGGGCACACAGAAGAAAATTGATTGTTTGTTATTTAAATTTAACTGGGCATCCAGTCATTTTTGTTTGCTGAGTCCGGCTAGCCTTGAGATAAGTGATTTCCCTCTCCTTTGTTTATTTGTTGCTAAATCAATAATACTTAGACATATTGCCTGGTGGTGAATGATGAGGTAAGCCAGCGGGGAGGAGACAATGGTAAGGTCTGTGCTGAATGTATCTGTACTGTCATTGTCCCCATCATCCAGCCTACTTCACTGCTTCCCTTACAACTGGGACTGACTTGCCCCACTTACAAGAACTGAAAGTGTAATTGCTGAGGCAGGATTCTAACAATACCTTAGAAAAGGAGCCTAAGTCAAATGCTTAACTGGCTGATCTGAACTAGCATGCTGTCGGTTGAGGAAGAGTCATTACGGAGAGGGCAAATGGAGCTGAGCAGCAGCCGTGGTGGCGGTTACTGGGTACTCGGGCCTCAGCAGGGTAGCAGGTGCTTTGAATATATAAGTCAATTAGTCCTTTTACAGAAGAGACTATCATTGTCCTAATCCCACAGCTAGGAACACGGAGGCTCAGTCAAGTGAAACACTGCCTGATAATTGTGCTTTAGAAAGTGGGAAAGAGGCTGCCACAACTTTCTCTATAACGGTCTGTCAGAAAGCAGGGGGTCCTCAACTGGGCGATGTCATGAGACATCTCTGGTCATGACCGCTGGGGAGGAGGAATAGGGCTTCTGGCATACACTGGGTTGACAATAGAGACAAGTGTTTGATACCATAAAACACATGACAGCTCCTAGCCAGGAGCCAGCCCTAAAACGTCAGTCTTCTGGGACTGATATTGCCTGCCACAGAGTGAAGGCAGGGGGGCAAGAGGAAAAATGGAAATGAGCTCATACTCCTATTTCAGTCTGAAGCAACTGCAGTATTGTTGGGCTTTGTTCAGAGAAACCTCTGGTTTTGGTGTTTGAAAGCAGGAGAGCACACGGAGGAAAAGGCTGGCCTGCTGCCAGATGATTGCTTACCATGGTGGAGGACTTCTTGAGGATTTTTCTTGCCTTCCTCAGTGTAAACTTCCAGGCCTCCTGTGGAAGCAGAATGAGGTAACACTATAACTCCTGTTTCACCTTTGATTTACATGTCTTTTCTAAAATTAAAAATCAAAGTCTATCTCCTTTTTTTATCTTTTTTATTTTATTAATTACAGTTTATTCATTTTGTATCCCCCCATAAGCCCCTCCCTCCTCCCCTCCCAGCCCCACCCTCCCTTCCCCTTCTTCTCGCTTGCCCCTCCCAAGTCCACTGATAGGGGAGGGCCTCCTCTCCTTCCTTCTGATCTTAGTCTATCAGATCCCATCAGGAATGGCTGCATTGTCATCTTCTGTGGCCTGGTAGGGCTGCTCTCCCCTCAGGGGGAGGTGATCAAAGAACAGGCCTATCAGATTATGTCATAGGCAGTCCCTCTTCCCATTACTATGGAACCCACTTGGATACTACGCTGTCATGGACTACATCTGTGCAGGGGTTCTAGGTTATCTCCATGTATGTTCCTTGGTTGGAATATGAGTCCCTGGGGAGACCCCTGTGTTCAAATTTTCTGGTTCTGTTTCTCCCCTTGTGGGGTTCCTGTCCTCTCCAGATCTTACTATTTCCCACTTCTTACTTAAGATTCCATGAACTTTGCCCATCAGTTGGCCTTAAGTCTCAGTGTCTGCTTTGATAGTCTGTAGGGCAGAGTCTACTGGTCCCAGGGGAGCCTGCAGAATCTGATACTCCAGCCAAGATCTATGCATGGAGAGGACCTAGACCCCCTGCTCAGTTTCCAAGTGGGTTCCCTAGTAAAGGGGACAGGGGCTGTCTCTGACATGAACTCAATGGCCGGCTTTTTTATCACCTTCCCACAGAGGAAGATCATGCAGCCAGCCCTAATGAGACTTGATAGGCTAGGGTCAGATACAAGGGGAGGAGGTCCTCCCTTATCAGTGGACTAGGGAAGGGGAATAGGGGGAGAAGAGGGAGGATGGGTGGGACTGGGAGGAGATGGGAGGGGGCTACAGCTGGGATACAAAGTGAATAAACTGTAATAAAGAAATAAATAAAAATAATAAACTATTAAGATAAAAAAGAATATGAGTACATTTCCACTTTTTCCAAATAAAAAACAAAACATAATAAAAAAAGAAATCAAAATCTACACATATGTGATAAATTAACTGTTCTGCTAATTTCTGATAAAATAATTTATAGAAAGGCAATTTCTTGTTACTAGGTACCCTCATTACGACGTTATACCAGGTGCTTCGTTAATGACTTTGCAAATATTACCTTATGAAGTCTTTATGACAGGTCTGAGATACAAGACTATGGCAGATACACCGAAGCCAAGAAGCTGGCTTCCTGTCAGTGAGCAGGGGCGGCAGACACTTATTCTGAACCTCTGCTCTCTGACAGACATAGCGCAGCGGCATCCATGAACGGGTGGCTCTCTGTAGATTCTGTGCCTCCGCAGAGCATCAGCAGCCCTGTAGAATCTTAAGGCACTGCAGGTACAACCACTGCCAGGAGAGCGCCCTCCACCTCTCGTTAACCTGCTCCTCTCCTGGCTCTGTACCCACCGTTCTCTTTCATTACTAGAGCATTTAGCTGCGCCTTTGAAGTATACATACATTGCAAATATAAAGAATTAACTCCCTGCCAGTAAAGATTGTTATGAAAAAATTCCAAAGGACGACTATATTTGTAGGAGGTGGAGAGGCACAATTTGAGGTTCCTTCTCAAAATTAGTATCCCACACTCAATGTGCATGTGCCAGTCCCATTGTTCCCAACCTCGGCCTGCCCCTCGGCAGCTCTAAAATCTGCTCAGGAACTGACATATTCATTGGAAAAAAACCATTTTTTTACTCTTCCTTGAAGCTGGAGTTGAGGTAAGTGCCAGCTCTAAGTCACTCATAAGTCTCTCATAAGGTCATCTTTGTCTTGAAGCAGTGACTATATATGGAGGAGCTCCACTTACCCTTGGTGGGTGGACACTGAATCATCCCCCTTACTTACCCCACTAGTGTCTGCCTGAAATCATGCTCCTTTTGCTCAAGTTCAGAGGATAGCAAGCATGTGTCTTAGGTCAAAGGCAACAGGATGGCGGGTAGTTGAGAGTGCAAAAGAATGCCCTGAAGAAAGATGACATTCTCCAGCTGGTTTTGGTGGCCAGGATAAACTGGCATAAGGTGTGCCTTTTAAAAAACTAAAACACCACTGTGCACTTTTAAAAAAAAAGTCTAAAATACCAAGGCACTGAATATGTTCTGTGTTATTCCTCCTTCTATCCAGCCCTATAGAACATCTTAACCTCCTGTGATAGGTCATTGGTAAGATGTGATTATACTATAGCCCATATAGTCCATGTCAGTGCTATATTCACTATTTATTTCTGTTTGTTGGCAGCAGGGATAATAAAACTGACAACCCTTACTTTTAAAACATGATCTCTACAGATCTTGAAAGAAAGATTCTCAGCTTCATATGGAGAAACAAAAAACCCAGAATCTCCAAAACGACCCTGTACAACAACAGATCATCTGGAGGTATCTCCATCCCCGATCTCAAGCTGTACTACAGAGCAATAGTAATAAAAACTGCATTGCATTGGCATAGAAACAGAAAGGAGGATCAATGGAACCAAATAGAGGACCCAGAAATAAACCCACACACCTATGAATACTTGATTTTTGACAAAGAAACCAAAACTATTCAATAGAAAAAAGATAGCATCTTCAACAAATGATGCTGGTCCAATTGGAGGTCTACATGTAGAAAAATGCAAATAGATCCATATTTATCACCCTGCACAAAACTAAAGTCCAAGTAGATCAAAGACCTCAACATAAAACCAGATACTCTAAATCAGTTAGAAGAAAAAGTGGAAAGAGCCTAGAACTCATTGGCACAGGAGACAACTTCCTGAACAGAACACCAACAGCACAGGCTCTAAGAGCAACAATCAATAAATGGGACCTCATGAAACTGTAAAGCAAAGAACACTGTCGTCAGAACAAAATGATAGTCTACAGACTGGGAAAGGATCTTCATCAACCCTATATCTGACAGAGGACTGATATCCAGAATATATAAAGAGCTAAAGAAGTTAAAAAGCAATAAGTCAAGCAATCCAATTAAAAAAATGGGGTACGGAGCTAAACAGAGAATTCGCTGTAGAGGAATATAAAATGGCAGAGAAACACTTAAAGAGATGCTCAACATCCTTAGCCATCAGAGAGATGCAAATCAAAACGACCCTGAAATTTCACCTTACACCTATCAGAATGGCTAAAATCAAATACTCAAATGACAACACATGCTGGAGAGGTTGAGGAGAAAGGGGAACCCTCCTCCATTGCTGGTGGGAATGTAAACTGGTACAACCACTTTTGAAATCAATCTAGCGCTTTCTCAGACAATTAGGAATAGTGCTTCCTCAAGACCCAGCTATAACACTCCTAGGCATGTACCCAAAATTTGTTCAAGTACACAACAAGAACATTTGCTCAACCATGTTTGTAACAGCTTTATTTGTAATAGCCTGGACCTGGAAACAACCAAGATGTCCATAAACGGAGAAATGGATACAGAAATTGTGGTTTTTTACACAATGAAATACTACTCAGCAATCAAAAATGAGGAAATCATGAAATTTGCAGGCAAATGGTTGGATCTAGAAAATAATCATTCTAAGTGAGGTGTCCCAGAAGGAGAAAGACACACATGGTATATACTCACTTATAGAGACCTATAGGATATGATAAACATAATAAAATCTATACACCTAAAGAAGATAAACAAGAAAGAAGACCCGGGGTAAGATGATCAATCCTCACTTAGAAAAACAAATGGGATGTGCATTGGATATAGGAAAAAACACGTAACAGGACAGGAGCCTACCACAGAGGGCCTCTGAAAGACTCTACCTAGCAGATACTAAGATTCATAACTGAACCTTCAGCAGAGTACAGGGAATCATATGAAAGAAGGGGGAGTTAGTATGACATGAAGAGGATAGGAGCTCCACAAGGACCAAATATATCTGGGCACAGGGGTCTTTTCTGAGACTGACACTCCACCAAGGACCATATATGGATATAACCTAGAACCTCTGCTCAGATGTAGCCTGTGGTAGCTCAGAAACCAATTGGTTTAACCATAGTAAGGGGAACAGGGAATATTTCTGACAGGAACTCAATGGCAGGCTCTTTGACATCCCCACCCCCCAAGGGAGGAGCAGTCCTGCTAGGCCACAGAGGAGGACTTTGCAGACAGCCTTGAAGAGACCTGATAAAACAGGGTCAGATGAAAGGGGAGGAGGTCCTCCTCAATCAGTGAACTTGGAAAGGGGCAGGGAGGAAATGATGGAGGGAGGTTGGGATCAGGAGGGAATGAGGGAGCGTTATATAGCTGGGTTACAGAGTTAATAAAATGTAACTAATAAAAAAAAGATCAAGTTGATTAACAAGACTAGTAACACATTTATTGTTGACATAGTTGATTGTGACCACTGATATTTCTAACAGGTTTGGATTCAATTGGTAAGTGTATAACAAATATTGTAAAAAATATTTTGAAATAGAATGATTTATTTAGTACTTAGTTTCAGACCTCCAAAAAACATTTATTGGGCTTTTCCTCTCCCTTGAGTACTGTGTTGGATAATAGGAATATAGAATGAGGGAGATGAAAACAGCATGAAAAAAAATAACCAAACTGATTTTTTTTTTCAATGACAAAACAGTGGTTGACAGAATGTTATCTGAAATGCATGTAAGACTGGGTATTGAGCACACAAACATGTACAGTAATACAAACTCTACTCAACAAATGTTTCTAGCAACATTTCCATAAGTCATAAATAATGCTTTCAGCTTAAATATTTTAATTTGGTAAGGGAATTGCATGGGCACTTAAGAATGTTTAGAGTTTATTTTTGTCAGTTTTGTCATTATTTCTATATAATTCATAAAGAACATTTGTCAAATAGATTTTGATGCTCACATTCACTTTAGGTTTGCTGTATAAATAAACAAACAAACAAATAA